TCCCAATGGAATTTCCCATTGGGAACCTACTAGCACTAAGTTTCTAACTGGTTAGCAAGATGCTTCTAACAAACCGGCCACAACCAAAGTTGCTTGCAAACCTTCTGCTACAACAACCCCGCTCTCTTGATAAAAGACCAATTACATTCACTTTATTCACTCGTGTAAAGTCGAGCACAACTCGGGAGAATTCGGAAATGCAACGGTTTAAACAGCCGCTTCCCTGCGACTTTAAAGAGGGACGGTCAATGCTAATTTCCTTTTAGACATACAATCTTGGACAGAAAAAGCTTACTTTGGCTTTCCTTCTGACCTGACCTCCTGCTTCCATAGTTTTGCTGACTAATGGTAAACTGCAAACAGGACTTCCAGTAGCTTTCCGTTCGCAGGTTTTCCACCAACAGCAGATTTGTAAAGTTCAGTCATGATAACTGCAGGATGTTAGCAGGTTGTTTGACACTCATTATGTTCCCTTGTTCTAACAGCAGGTCCTACACAGCGTCTCCAACCTGCATCTCCTGCTCAGCACTCTGCAGGTACGCCTCCTCCTGAAGACTGCATCTGCAGGATTTATATCAGAAATAAAAACATGATTGTGAAGTTTTAAGTTAATGTACATTTTAAGAAGTTTCTCTTTGTGCAAAAAGATCCGATCATAAATATTTTGATAACAGTATAGAATCATCTTAGAATTTCATGAGTTAAGTGTCTATTGTGATCGTTGATGCCTTGTGGGTCTCAGGCGGTGGTGGTCCAGCAGGACAGCTACATCGAAGACCAGCGGCAGGCCCTGAGCGAGCGTTCCTCCTCGTGCTCGTCCTTGTCATCGCGGCAGTCCTCCCGTCCCAGCTCCCTGATTGAGCAAGAGAAGCAGCGCAGCCTGGAGAAGCAGAGGCAGGAGTTGGCCTCCCTGCAAAGGCAACAGGCTGCTCTCGCCGAGGAGAGGCGGAAGAGGGAGAAGGAGTGGGAGTTGAGGGAGCAGCAGCTTTCTGAGAGAGAGTCGGCAGTGCACTCACAGGTAACGATGCATCATCTTCCCCCAGCCTTGTTCTCCATTAGGTTCTAAGCAGGTGTAGTTCTTAATATATAACGGCTGGCATTTATTTTTCAGCAGGAAAATAAATGCTGAGGGAGTCATGCTGGAGTGCTTCACAAGCTGCAGGGGGTTTCTCTTCGTCATAACACAATAAAGTGTGAAGTCTTTTGCATAAACTAGTTTTCTTCACTGCTTTGTTGTTTATCACAGGCGACCTTAGTTCCTTTCATCACACTTTTTTTAAACTTTTACTAAGATCATGAGGAAAGGTGCAAAGTAAACTTATCAGGAAATATGATTGGTTTTGGGTGATAGGATTTAGCTGCTTAGTGTTTTTTCAATGAAAGTTACACATAAGAAAAAACGTTTCAGGTCTTATTTGCTGCAACACCAGGCTTAGGTGTTGCATAAACCTTCATATCCCCAAATCTGTTAGAAAAGTTTTCAGAGGCAGAAAAGTGCCTGGACCTTGAGGGGGGGGGGTCAAAACGGCAGAACTTGAGAATTCCAGGAGTCAAGAAGGGGCTGGAAAATGGGCAAAAAGACTAGAGACTTTGTAGCAAAGCTGCTGACCGATGTCTTACAGTTGGATGAAGGACCACTGATTGACCAAGCTCATAGGGCACTGCGAGAGCGCCCAGGTGATGGTGAACCACTTGATCGTCAGGGTGCACTACTGTCATGTCTTCAATGAAATTCTGAAGAAAGTAATGCAGTCACGAAACCTCACTTATCAAGGCGAGCGAATTCAAAGCCGCTGCGCCGCTTTCACCGCAGCCAGAAACCTACTCTGTTACAAACACAGAGACAAACAGGACATACAACCATTCATGCACAAACTCCCACCTAAGGAGAATCTAGAGAAGCTAATTGACCTAACATAAGACATAAGTAGCAATGAGAATAAATATGAACATTGTTGATCACTAAACAAGAGCTAAAGCTTCGCTTGGATGTGAGTACATTATTGTACCCCTTTAAAGGACATAATATCGACTTAAAATGTTAACTGTCAAAACCTCCTAACTAGACCAAATCGGTTTTTCTTTTATTGATCGGGCGTTGCTTTCCATGAACTGGATTTATTCTTTACTGCAAGTTAGATAGAAATAACTGAAATTAACTATCAGGGGTTTAAATGAGTCAAAGGGTCGTTCCGACTACATTGTTGTGCATCAGCCACTGCAGCTTTGTTCATGTCTTATTAGCTGAGAACACTCTGAGGCATGTTTGTCTTTAAGAAATTCCATACATATGTCTCTCCACCACTGCAGGAGGAAGAGGTGCAAAAACAACAAAAGCAGCTTGAGGATGAGAAGATGGAGCTGCAGAGCAAGAAGGAAGAATACCAAAGAGACCTGGAGAGGCTGAGAGACGCCCAGAGGAAGCTGGAGAAGGAGAGGGAGGCTGTGCAGCGGCAGATCCACAGGATGGAAGAAATGCGGCTGTCTGAGGTGAGCAGGGATGTGTCAGAGACGGTAATTATAACATGAATGCTGCAGGAGAGCAGCCTCTTCTGTTAGCTTGGAGGCTACAGGTGAGCTAGGATGATACTTCAGCACAGGAAGCTGAGGCTTGAACTCACATTCTCTGAAAAGTGTATAAAGATGCTCCAGGCAGTCCAAACAGATTATCATTTACTTTATTATACTCTTCAGGAGCCAGACATTACTCTGAACATTAATAAGCATTAAACCTTCAGAATACATGTCCCTCATGTGTCTAATTCTCCTTCCTCTGCTTCCAGAGAACACCCTCCACAACGTCCGACGAATCCCTGTTCCTCGGCAGCTCTCAGTCCCTGGAGCTGGACCCACTGGAGCTCTCCTCGTCCTCCTCCTCATCCTCCACTCTCCCCAGGCTGCAGCCCCAGCGCTCCAAAACCAGTAGGAAGGGCCTGAATCCCTTCACCTCGTCCTCTGGCAGCCTCAAGAGCAGCGAGGCCAACAACCAGATCTCCAAGGGCTTCCTGCAGCTGACCAAGACCAAGAGCAAAGACGGGAAGAAGAAGAAGAAGAACAAAGGTGGTAGCGCGCAGGCGGCAGGTAGGGAATGGTAAATGATTCCAATAAATTATTCAGTGTGAATCTGTGGGTTGTAGTGGAATGTTTTACTGTCAAGGGCCCTTCTAGTTAGAGGCAGCGTGTTTGGTTAGATTAGAAAGGATGGATGGATGGATGGATGGATGGATGGATGGATGGATGGATGGATGGACGGACGGACGGACGGACGGATGGACGGACGGATGCGTGGACGGATGCGTGGATGGATGCATGGATGGATGGATGGATATTATGAATGTAAAATTAGTCTTCAGTTTGCCTCAGAAAGAAGATATAGTGAGTAAAGCCCTAAATAATTGTGTCAACTCAATATATTCACACAATATGGACTTTTAACAGGACCGGACGATTAGTGAAATTTTCCTTTATCAAAATGTTTCAATGATCTTCCATCGATCCACTCTTTGGGCTTCAGTAGCTCAGAGTGACATCACGTGATTCTTTTTTGTTCTTGGATGTTTAGCTTGGTCTATTATAAGGCAGCTGTGTTCAACATGAGTTCCTCAATAAAAGCCCGCTGTCTCTTAGGCATCCTAAAGAATCCTCATTTCAAAGAGAGGGGGTCAAAGATCTGTCTTTATTTGCTTCAACCTAATGAAATGTTTACAGGTGTGAAAATGATGGAAGGGAAAAACACATTCACTTGGAAATCTCCCCATCTAATTTAAAATAAAAGATTAATAATAAAGATTGATTTATCTTCAGGATTTTTACACATCTTCCCAAAGGGTCCTAAAAGGTTTGATTTGCACTGTTAAAAGTAGTGGTAGCTTCATGAAAATACTGCAAACATGTCATGTGATGTGATGTGTTGGCCTGCAGCAAATGAAATCATTTTCTAGGTTTCCCCCAAATCAATCTTCTTTTTTTCTATTGTTTCCATTCCTGGCCAGCCTTGACCCCTACGCTACGTTCATGGTCCTTACTGGACTTAATGAGGCGCATTAATTCTCTTCATGTATACTTTAAAAAACAACCCTTATGTAAAGCAGACAGAGGGACTAAAGGTAGAAGAATCAGTTTGGTCCACATAGCATGTTATATTTGCACAGACTACAGCACAGCCAACAGAGCTTAGTTAACGGACAAAATAATTTATTCCAGCCAGATCTAACTTTAAAGTAATCTTTTAATTTGATGTGTATTGTTTTCCTGAATGAAGTAAAGTTCTGAATGTACACTGGAAAAACAATCTAGGACAAAATATTTCTTAAATTAAGTGTATTTACCCTTAATTTGAGTAGGTAAATAAGAACTTTAAACAAGACAATGCAATTGTTTTTTTTCTTATTTTAAGTGTAGTCTTGTTCCATTAGCAAAATGTCTTTTACCTTCTCAATCCAAGAATAATTGCACTTATTTTAAGAAAAAATGACTTATCTAGATTTAGATTTTTCCAGTGTACTACGGTGCCTTCAACCTTGTATCTGATGGAGGAAGCTAAAGATTAGGGTGATTGTAAAGAGACCTTTAAAGGCCAATTTATGCTTATGACGCATAGCCTCTGCAACCGTCAAATCTGTCTCTCAAAAAAATCCTGACTACGTGTCGGAAGGTCGTAAACTCGCGCAGACCTGAAGGAGAAGTGGGCAGACAAAAAGCAGCTGTGATTGGTCCTCGGTATGCCTTTCCGGCTGTCTGTGTGGTCTTCCTTCTCGATTGGGTTTCGGAGCACGCCATTTTTAAAATTTGAGGAACAACTACAATGGACAACCTATGCCTCCTTTGTCTTTTTGCCAACTCCATTAGCAGAACCTGTTCCTCTTCGATGTCTAGCAACTCTAGATCTATCTCCGTTACCGTGATAACTTGCAGAAGCGCCATTGTTGTTTTGGAAGATAAACACTCCCGTCTGTGCCGCTGAAGTTCTCGTGACCATCTGCCCAAGTTCTTGCGAGTTCTCGAATAGGCTCCCCCTTGCGCTTTGGTGGGAAACTGCTGTGCTTCCCTAGAAATTCCAGATCGACGATGCAAAAGCATAACAGCAAAACTGGTTCGCGACAAGACCCAAGCCACATTTGATGCCCTTAAATCTAAAATCCTTGGAGATTGGAACACCGTAGATGATGCGCCACAGGAAACAAAGCCAACTTTGATACCTGTGATAAAATAAAGATGATTGATTACTGAGAAGGGTTTAAGGATATCCAAAGTTCCTTCATTTTTGGTTGAAATACAAATAAAAACAGATGCCTGACAGTGAGAAACTAGTGATAAACGGATATCATGGTTAAATGGAAATAACTGTACATCTAAAACGGCCAGAGGTATGGATAGTGGTGTGTTTTACTGTATTATAGACATATATGCTGAAGTTCATTAATTGCTACTAAATTTAAATGTGCTGGTCTGGTTCTTTTAGAATCTTATGGTCAGCAAAAGTGTATCTAAATACATATATTTTAGTTATGCATTTTTAAGGAAAACAGGCAGGTTTAAGGGGTAATTCTTTTAGTGAATGAATTCAAGGAAAAAAACAACAATTTGCATTTAAGATCTTCTGCCACCAGCAGCCATCTGTGAGCAGTTCCGATCAAAATCAGGACTGCGGAGGCTTTGACTCGTTTCATCCTTCTGAGGAGGATAAGCAGGGGATTTCTGAGTGCCCAGAACAAACAGGGGGGATGGCTGCATCAAAGTACAGCTTCGTCAGTGTTCACACAAGAGCTTGTTTTATCCATCATCGAGACGCAAGACAAACGTGAACTACACAGACATTTATCAGCAAACGGTTCTGGGTTTTAGCTCTATCAGAATGATGAGAGACAACACGCCGTAGGACGCTCATCCCTCAACCGCACACCTTTTTCTTCTCTCTTTCCACAGAGACCTGATTAGTATTTCATACGGGTCGCTGAGGCGCTGCACAGATTTGTTGCAGGAGTAAATTAGTCAGGAAAGTAAATAATTCAGCTGTCCTACATTTCAGGGGGAGTAGCAGCACCCGTAGAGCCTAAGAAAGTCTTTAAAACGAACTGATCTGTTTTGTTTTTATCCTACCTATTTTCAACATCCGTCCTGTGTTTACAGATGAGAAGCACAAATATCACAGAGAATTTGGTACTGAAAGCGAGATATGTTAGAGCGCAAATACGTTTGGAGATGAAGCGATGGCTGCGATATGAGCGGTGAACATACAGCTCCCTGAGGCGGCCTGGTGACACTTCTTTAATGGATCTCTGTGACAGTGCAGGCAGAAGGAAGGGCCCAGAAATCCAAATCCTGACAGTGACTCCTCTCTTCTCCTCTACTCCCTCAGACACTCAACACGTTCCGGAGCCCCCCATGGACGGAGAGATCTTCTTCTGCTAAGGCGCAGTGCCGTTACCCCCTCCTGCTCTTCCTCTTCATCATCACTATGAACGTGTCGCATCACTCTGGCACCTGGAGAGGAATCCTTTCTGCACATTTGACTGTTGGAATGGTTTTGCTCTAAAGAAGCACCTTTGAGGCTTTTCTAAGCTGGTACCGGTTTTCATTAGCGTGATTCCCATGTTATGTTTTGTTGGAATATCAGACATAAAAAGAAATAAAATGTGCTGCAGGTTCTTTAAAAGATGTAGACGTTTTTAAATCAAATAGGAAATAAGAAAACTATAAGATTTCTGCAATTTATGCATCAAAGCAACAAACCACTGCTTTTATTCTGTGCAGAGTGGAGGATTTCAGGAGTTTTGGTAAATTTGCAGGTCTGAGTGTTTTTAATTCTTCAAGCAAACCTTTAGAGTGTTTTCATTTGCAGCGATGAGACAGCTTACTGTGAGCATTGCATGCCCCCCCCCCCAGCTTAACAACCTGCATCGGAGGCTCCTCTGCCTCTGTGCTCCTGCTCTGCGTGCTCGGATGTGGAGGGCTGCTCGTTTCCCATCGGCTAGACCTGTTTCCAGGCGACTTCTGCCTCGCAGCGCAGCGACACCCAGTCGATTCACAATGCCACTCAGAAACAGATTAGAATTTGAGCTGACTCTGTGAGGCACCGGAACGTCCTCGACGCTAATCACATTCATTAACAGCTAATTGAAGACTGAAACCACTGAAGGGACCCTGTGTTGTCCTGGCAACATTTCTTTATCGCGGGAGCTCAGCGCTGTCCCTGTGTTTCACTCCCACATCTGCCCTCACACAAGCAGCCCGAAAACAGCATTAGATTACAACCACTCTTTTTTTATCGACTCCTGATTGTAAACAAAATGGCGAATGATGAGTAAACTAATCCCCCCCGCCATGACTTTCCACCATCCATCATGATTCCTGATGAGGTTTTGATTTATTTAAATGAGGTATGTCTCCATTTTGGAGTGAAACTCTTCAGACTTCCAGAGTAATGAAAGGATTGAGACACGTACTATCTCTCCATGTCAAATGGCTCAATTCATATCCTTTTAGTGTGTTGTAGAACCTTGGATGGATATTAGCTTGATCCTCACGTTATCCGCCTGTCGATGAGCATTTATGCAGCCCTCATCTTTCATCCGAGCCCAGACAACGGGAGGGGAGGGGGGGGTCCTTTCCTTGGTGTTTTAATTGCATGTAACGCCGCAGGTAGCATACTAATGGCTGCTGTTAAAGAGTTCAACGATCTCTTTCTTTTCTGCTCCTTTTGGCTCTGATTAAAAAGTCTGCAGGCAGAAGCGGCCGACGGTTTGAAAAAGTGAAAACGGTTGATAAAGAGAGGGAAGAAATATGCCTGTTGATTTTAACGGCTCAAACCTTTCATCATTTCATGTAGTTACTCAGTGGTTTAAGCACTTTGGTCCCAGAACATTAATACATCTTTTTTTTTTTTTTTTATTATTGTTTTTGTTTTTATTTTTTTAACTCAACAGTGATCCAAAGAGATGGTGATGCATTTAAGGTCAGAACAGATGCAGTTTTTTTTGTTAAGTTTGGATGTTAAAATAAGAATGTAGATTATCTGTGCAGATTGTCCGAATGTTTTAATCCTGTGGTTTAGACCTTCAAAGTCTATATTTTAGGCTGCACAGTTACCTGCTGGACAGGTAGGAAGCAACAAAAAAAAGAAACAAAGGTAGGTTATGAGTACAAAAGTACAGAAAATGAAAATAAGGTTTTGCAGTAACGGAACCAGCTTTGCTTCCTCGCTGCCTCTTGTCTTGTGTTGAAGCGCTTGTTGGTTAACTGGCCTGTGTCTGTGTGCAGGATTTGAATTCATGTCCAGGCGGGGTTGTTATAGTACGTCTTGTAAGAGGCTCACCGTGCCTGCCAATTACTTGCTTCATGTCCTTTGTTTATGGATTCGGTGTAATCCAGTCACAGAAACAGAGGAAAGGGCTTTTTTTTTTTTTTTTTTACTCACACAAAAAAAAGTAAGTGCTCATGTTTTGACCACCAGGGAGCACTGCACCTATAACTAAATAAACACCCCCCCTCCTCCCATTCACAGAACCAAAACAAGAATAAAAGAACAAACATGCTTCTTCCTGTGGGTCTATACTGTCCCTGCTGTGAGAAATTGACATATTTTTCTCAGCGGGTCATCAGCCTACAGAAGATAATGTGATGAGCGTGGGCTCTCACGCTCTGTGACATTTCCCCCTGCGGCATTTGTAACTGACTGAAGGAACAAATAAGTTGTCAGATTGTAATTGGTTATTCAACGCAGGCAGTCAGCAGTAGCTTTAATGTAAGTGGGGGGGGCAGAGGTAGAGAAGCATGTCTGTGCCAGGGACAATCAGCAGATGCAATTCAGGAAAACAAGCTCCCTCCCCGACGATGATGAGCCTGTCCATGAGACAGGGGGGCGGGTGCATCAGGTGAAGCCCGCGTAGCCTTAAATCATGTTGATAAAATGCACTAGAGTAGAAGCCAGCGTCTTCTCAGGACAGAGGAGAGCTTTTATACCTCTGCTTTCAATCGAAGGAAACGTTTGTACTATATAAATGGTACACTGTTCATTCTCAGCATTGTATAAAGAAAAGGGCAAAAATGTAAATATGATCAATGTATAAAACTAATCGACTGTAAAAAAACGAAACAAAAAAACAAAACAAGAAATAGTTTGATTTGTGATTTATTGCAGCATTTTGTAAGAATGTTTTATTTATGTATTACCCTTGTCCTGGGGGTGGTGAACAAATGTAAAAGCATATTTCTCTCACAATAATAATAAAACAAAAATCATAACTCAGTAAATGACCTATTGTGTTTTTTTTTTTTTTTTTTTCATTATTTTTCTGGTGAGGCAGAGAAGAGCTTACCTGCTGTTAGTTTTTGCTTCAGTAAGCGATTAGGGACAGATCTATTTAACTAAAGCCTGAAGGTTCAACCCACGTCTCAGGCTTTATTAACCTAAAAATCACTGCCTACACTGGAAAAATTATCTAAAAATATGTAAAAATTTCTTACATTGAGTGTATTTACCCTTAATTTGAGTAGATAAATGAGGTGGTTTGCCAATGGAATTAATATTTTTACTCTTAAAATAAGATAATTAGATAAAATGCACTTGAAATGAGACAATACAATTGTGTTTTCTTATTTTAAACGTAAATTGTCTTGTTCCATTGGCAAAATGTCACTTTTACCTCCTAAATCCAAGAACAAATGCACCTATTTTAAGAAAAAATTACTTATCTAGATTTTGATTTTTTCCAGTGTAGTTTTATTATTGTTTATAAAAAGGATTTATTTCTGTTGCTGCTTAAATACTATTAAAGGTGATATACTTTAGGATGATTTTGTCAATACCTAGACTTCAGCAAATATAAAAAAAGAAAAATCACTAATTTAGAAGTTTTGTAGTCCCAGCCTTTACCTATTGGTGACAACAGTTATATTAAATTATTAGCTGATAAAATCTATGTGTTGATGGAGCTAGCCTGAATTTAGCTGCTGAACACGTATACTGCTCATAGTGCAGTCATTTGGGGTCATTTGGCCATTTTATCCATAGGCTGGTGATAGTCTGGGTACATCCTGAACAGATCGAACTCTTTATGAAATTTTAACTTTTTATTTTAGAACTGAGATTTACATCGAGGTTTATCCTATTGGTTCTTCACATAGTATATTGTATTCCCTGCTCTTCTGAACACATGCACAAATGGGGCGGTGTTGGAGTCTGGATTAGATTCTCCACACCACCATATTGTCTCTGATATGAGATAAATATTCTTAAAAATTAGTTAGAATATGAATCCCTTTATTGTCCCAGAATGGGGAAATTGTGGTGTTACAGCAGCAAAAGGATTATAGTAAAAGTGGTCACATAAATGTGGACTTTAAAACTGTATAAAAATAAGTTTTAAAAGAGTAAATAAAATACTGTACTATGTAGTGTTTTTATAATATACTGTGCTTCTTGAAAGATTTAACATATAGCTGTGGACATGGATATGTGAACAAAAATAGCAACACCAGAGATGTGCAAAAATGGCAGCAGCATGTTATTTAACTAAGGTAGAAACTGTGCAAAATCAGAATGAATGTAACAACTTATTGAGGTTGTTGGGAACAGTGGTCGTTCTAGAGTCTTCCAGCTGCTGGGAGGAAGGATCTGTGATAACGCTCCCTGGTGCATTCAGGGTGCAGCAGTCTGTCAATGAAGGAGCTCTCCAGTTCAGCACCAGCTTCATGCATGGGGTGGGAAACATTATCCAACATAGATGTTAATTTAATTAGGATCCTTTTGTTTCCCACCTCCTGCACGGAGTCCAGAGGGCATCCAATCACAGAGCTGGCCTTCCTGATCAGCTGATCCAGCCTCATTCTCTCAGTTACAGGTAAGCCACTGCTCCAAAAGACGGCTCCATGGAAGATGGCACATGTCATCATGTTGTATTGTTTTGAAAAAAAAAGTAAGGGTATTATGATTGGATTGATGTTATGATAATCAAAAATCCTGAAATCAAACTTTTATTCTACCTACTGTACAGACAGACTTGCCAATAAAAATTCCACTTTATACTAATTACAGTACCATACTACTAGGTGTTGTCTAATCCCAGGTGGTGTGTGCAGTACATGTTATTTTTATTCCAGTTTACACCATGTGTGCAACAAAGTACAGACACCTAATCTACAGTAAATACTCTACCTTGACTGTTTATTACAAAGTGCAAACGGAGGAATTGCATTTCCCACTAAGGACAGAAGATATTGTTTTAAGGCTGTTTTTCACACAGAAAAGTTTAGAAGTAAACTTGGTTTGTATTCCTTTATGACCAAAATCCAATATGAGACTCTGTGATGAAGAAGGAAGAAAGAGCCTAAAGTTTGCAGCACTCTGCTTTCCTGGAACATATTTCCTGAGTGGACAGCAACTTGTGAAAGGGATGTTTCACTCATCAATGCAGACCTTCCAAACCTTTGGAGGCTGAGACAGCGTCTATCTCCCACGGCCAGGTAATGACCTGACTTTCCTAAGGCAGCCTTTGTTTCCTCTGACACAGCTAGGACATTGACAAAAAAGATCTTCTTTCCAGGTGGAGAAGAATTCAGGGGCTTACCTTTGGTTTGGAGTTTTCTTTGATTTGTGTGCTGCAAAATCTCTAAGGAGAGTGGAGTGTAAGGAGTCGAATTGGACCTTAGTCTGCAGGGGGGTACATAGGGTCAAAATAGCAGAGACGAAGCTCAGGTGGACATGGCAAGAATAAGAAACCAAAAAAGAAAAATCTGGATGTTGTCGTTTTACCACAAAGGACATTTCCATGTGAGTATATTCTGAAACATCTTGCTTAGATTCCATCACACATCCGCCTCTAGGATCAATACGTTCTAGAAAACACATTCCAGGTTTAGGAGTAACATTTGAAACAGATTGTTTCCTTAATGACTAAGTACTATAGCAAAATAATGATTTTATCCTGGAGTTATCAGATATACCGCTGTTGTAAGGAGTTGATATTTCCTTTCTCACTCCTACCTGTGTCTGTCTGCTGCATTTAACCAATAAAATACCTAAAACATTAATTTCCCTTTTAGTTTGCCTAGTAGGACAATGTGCTGCATGTTATGACTTCATTGTTCATAAAATGTTCCCATTTATCCTGAAGCGAAGCACTTTGATGCCAACAGCTGCTGCATTCATCTGCTGGATACTTTTTTTTTTACTTATACATTTCCTCTATTACTTTGTAACTTGTTTGGATTTCAAACCCAAGCGTATAAAATATTTTATCCAAAACATTTTAGGTGTATTTGTTAAAGAGGATGCAAAGTTCAGTTTAAGATATTCCCTTATTTTGCTAGTCTATACAGTAGCAGTTTCTGTTAATGACCTCTTTATGTCCTTTGATTAAAATCTGATTTTGTTCATTTGAAAACATATAATCGGATTCAGTTCAGTCAAAGCTTCCATTCTTTCAATTTAATTGGTTTTATTTCTACTGCTCAAAGTCACACCACATGCCAATTCAAAGCCCTTAACAGAGACAACTCAATCAGCCCATACAATCAGATTGATAAAAAGATTTCTGCCAAAGGAAAACCAGCTGATTGCACTGAGTCATTGACTGGATGAGCAGGTGGTGAAAAATAAAAAGAAAATATTCACTTGCATTGTTTAATTGACTCTGCATCAATGCCTCACACCAACCATGCATGCATGCAGGAACACAGAGGAAAAACTCCCTTTTAACAGGAAGAACCTCCAGCAGAACCAGGCTCAGTGTGAGCGGCCTTCTGCAGAGGCCAAACGGTGTCCAAGGAGACAGAAACAGATATACAAGAGGAACATAGAAGCACTGAACTATATATACTTATGTCAAAAAAGTTATTGGTAAAAAAGGCTGCTATGTCTTTAAAATAAAGAGTTTGGGTGTGATGCTGGCAGAGAGGGTCTGAGCCTGCCCCATCCCAGAAAGGATGAAAGAGAACGTACAGCCAGTCACAGCAAGAGACCCTTGTCCTGTTGGAGGACATAGGGACCACTTTTCATCATTCTGCTTCATCTCTATTCTCCCACTCTGCAGTATCCGGTAGTTTAACCCCCTAGCTGTATGTGCCGCCTTTCATATCTCTCCTTAATTTTCTATCTCTGCTTCTGTCTCCTTCAACCCCAGTTGATCTCAGCAGATGGCCGCTCACA